ACACCAGCCCCCTCTATGTCCTGGATTGTGAAGATGTCTGAGCCCAGGTCCAAGATTCCTGGAGGCACCTGGGAGGGCAAGGCCAGCCCACAGAGGCCAGGACTCAGGTGACAGGCCTGCAGGCAATATACTCATGGCACCATCTCCAGCTTCCCAGAGCTAACCTCAAGTTCTTTGTATCAGCTGCCTCAAGGTGTGCTAGCTAAGGGCAAATATCAGAGTCGGACTGCCTGGTTTTAAATCCTAGCTCTGCCATTGTTGGAAATGGGTGTTCGATGTGGCAAAATCAACACTGAGACAAAGGATCACTTGGTAAGGCTAGTTTACTTTCTGCAGAAAGGGTGCTGCTCGCTAGCAGTCTTGCCATGAGAGCACACCCGAACAAAGGAGATGGGGATATTTATCATCTTTGTAACCTGATGCAATCGTCCTGTGGCTGTGTCCAATTTCCATTGGCCAGAAAGGGACCTCACATTCTAAGCTTGACCTGATTGGCTAGCAGCTTGAAACTTTTCTAAATAGGTAAAGGGGAAGGAGGACAAAGAAAAGAGGAAGCTACTCATGAGAGGGTCAGGAGGGTTTCCAAATAAGGAGTGGCATGTACTATGGTCCGGGGCTCGCTTAACCCTGTCCAGGCATGCCAGGCCAAGTCACAGCAGCTGCATTGGAACATACACAGATATGCATAAACCAAATAAATGACAAGCTCTTTATGGTTTTAAGAAACTTTGAAGAAGAACTTCTCTATTCCTCACAGTCATGTTGGACATGTAAACCAAAAATAAAATTCTAAACCCCGTAATCAACCGAATGGACCCCTCCTCTTGACCAAAGGGATTCCAAAGAAACCTGAAAAATTAGTTCAGGCCATTATGGGAAAGAGGGGTCAGACATGCCTCATTATGCCCCCCTCCCTTTGGCATTCAAACACAACTCACCAGCATTAACATTAAAACAGAGATCATAAGACTGACAAAACAGGCTCTTTATACTAATAAGATGCCAAATTCCAGTGGACTGTATGTAGTACAGCATCACATGACAGCGGGCCCTGAAAGAAAGAGAAACATTTTACCCCAAAATATATTTCTTTTTTTTTTTTTTTTTTTTTTGAGACGGAGTCTGGCTCTGTTGCCCAGGCTGGAGTGCAGTGGCCAGATCTCAGCTCACTGCAAGCCCCGCCTCCCGGGTTCACGCCATTCTCCTGCCTCAGCCTCCCGAATAGCTGGGAGTACAGGCGCCCGCCACCTCGCCTGGCTAATTTTTTTTTGTATTTTAGTAGAGACGGGGTTTCACCGTGTTAGCCAGGATGGTCTCGATCTCCTGAACTCGTGATCCGCCCGTCTCGGCCTCCCAAAGTGCTGGGATTACAGGCTTGATCCACCGCGCCCGGCCATATATTTCTTTGACATATATATAGAGAGAGACGGAGTCTTGCTCTGTCGCACAGGCTGGATTGCAATGGCGCAATCTCAGCTCACTGCAACCTCCACCTCCCGGGTTCAAGCGATTCTCCTGCCTCAGCCTCCTGAGTAGCTGAGATTACAGGCGCCCACCACCACACCCAGTTAATTTTTGTATTTTAGTAGAGACAGGGTTTCACCATGTTGTCCAGGCTAGTCTTGAACTCCCGGCCTCGTGATCCCAAAGTGCTGGGATTACAGGCGTGAGCCACCGTGCCCGGACTTCTTTGACATATTTTGAAATGGTCCTGCAAAGCCGTCTCTTGTGGGGAAAATCTACATTCTGTAGATTTCCCTTTCCAGGTCTTTTCCTGATCCAAGGAGAGATTAACCAAGAGTCTGGCATCTTTTTAAGTCTGATAAGAAATACTTACCATCTATTTCTCTGAAGCCTGCTACTGCTACCAGGAGGCTTCATCTACATAAGAACGTTGGTCTACACAACACCTTTTCTTATCCCAGACACTCCTTTCTACTCATTCCAGTTCGTTAGACAATAACTATTTCAACCAATTGCCAATCAGAAAACCTCTGAATCTACCTACGATCCAGAAACCCCTACCTACTCTTCCCTGCTTCCAGTTGTCCTGCCCTTCCAGACTGAACTAATGTACATATATTGATTGGTATCTGCCTGTAACTTCTGTCCCCCTGTTACCGAAAAGGAGTCCCGATCCAGATCCCAAGAGAGGGTTATTGGATTGCAAACAAGAAAGAATTCAAGGCGAATCCATAGAGTAAAGTGAAAGCAAGTGTATTAGAGAAGCAAGGAAATAAAAGAATGGCTACTACGTAGGCAGAGCAGCCCCAAGGGTTGCTGACTGGTCACTTTTATGGTCATTTCCTGATTGTATGCTAAACAAGGGGTTGATTATTCATGAGTTTTCCAGGAAAGGTCTGGGCAATTCCTGGAACTGAGGGGTCCTTCCATTTTTAGATCACATAGGATAACTTGCTGTCTTTGCCATGACAGTTTAAAAATGTCATGGCACTGGTGAGAGTGTCTTTTAGCACAGATGTATTATAATTAGTGTATAATGAGCAGTGAGGATGAGCAGAGAACACTTTCATTGCTATCTTGGTTTTGGCTGGCTTCTTTATGGAATCCTTTTATCAGCAAGGTCTTTGTGACCTGTACCTGTGCCAACCTCCTGTCTCATCCTGTGACTTAGAATGCCTAACCTCCTGCGAATGTAGCCCAGTAGGTCTTAGCCTTATTTTATCCAGCCCCCATTCAAGATGGAGTTGTTCTGGTTCAAACGCCTCTGACACTCTTAAAATTTATAAAAATCGAGCTGCAATCGAACTACCTTGGGCACATGTTCTCAGGACCTCTTGAGGCTGTGACTCAGGCTTTCGTCACTCATATTTCGCCCTGAATAAAATCTCTTCAAATATTTTACAGTTTGACCTTTTTTGTCAACAGACTACTTAACTTCTATGTCAGTTTCCTCATCTATAAAATGGGGATAATACCTGTTTCATGGGGTTATTGTTTGGATTAATTGAGTTAATAAACTAGGAAGTCCTAAATAAGTCTTAGTGAAAGAATTAGGCAGCCTCATGAAATGGAGCTAGAAATGACTTCATTCATCCACGGCAGTGGAATTTGGGCCTACGTGGGCCAATGTGTGGTGCAATCCGTTCTGCAGACAGTGATGCTTATGAGTAAGACAAGTGCTCACGCCATTCCGGCTGCACCTTCACACACTGCAATCTTCAAGCCCTTATCTCCTCTCACCAGGACTCACGCCACCAGCTCATGCAATCTCTATCCAGCAGACGTGTTTTAATCACCTGCATGTCCCAGGATGAGAAAGGGGGTGTCAGGAGGTGAGGCTGGAGGAAGAAGGAAGAGGAAGGCTGAGGAGCTGAGCTTAGTCAGGGAAAGAGGCTATGACAATAAGGAAGAGGGAAGTGCAGGGCTCCAAGGAAGACACAGAGGACATCCGCACTGCCCCACTCCACTCCCAGACTTTGAGGCCTCTGAGAAGGTGGTGTCTTCGCTTAGAAAAACTTGAGAGTCAGCCGGGCAAGAAAGGGAGAGACATGGTCCCAAACACAAGAAATAACACGAGTTGTGTTCGTTCGTTCTTTTTTCTTTTTCTGGAAACAGAGTTTTGCTGTGTCACCCAGACTGGAGTGCAGTGTCGGGATCTCAGTTCACTGCAACCTCCGCCTCCCGGGTTCAAGCAAATCTCCTGCCTCAGCCTCCCAAATAGCTGGGATTACAGGGGTGCACCACCAAGCCCGGCTTTTTTGTATTTTTAGTAGAGACGGGGTTTTGCCATGTTGGCCAGGCTGGTCTCGAACTCCTGACCTCAAGTGATCTGTCTGCCTCGGCCTCCCAAAATGCTAGGATTACAGGCCTGAGCCACTGTGCCTGGCCGAGTTGTTCTTGACCACTTTTCCTGACTCCCCTCCCACAGACTCTTAGAGCCAAAGCCTTTATTATTATTATGGGGACAGGGTCTGGCCCTGTCACCCAAGCTGGAGTGCAGTGGTGCGATCACGGCTAACTGCAGCCTCAACCTCCCGGGCTCAGGTGATCCTCCCATCTCAGCCTCCTGAGTAGCTGGGACTACAGGCGCGCTCCACCATGCGGCTAATTTTTTTTTTTTTTTGTAGCGATGGGGTCTTGCCACCATCAGGAGGCTGGTCTTGAATTCTTGGGCTCAAGGGATCCTCCCACTTTGGCCTCCCAAAGTGCCGGGATTACAGGCATGAGCCACCGGGACCGCCAGCCTCTTTTAGGAAGAAAACCTGATACTGTCACTCCACTGTTAGAAACCTCTCAGTGGTGTTTTTGGAAATGAAAGTCTAACTTCTTGTCTCCTTCTGACCGTCTCCATGCTCAACCTCATCTTTCCGATGGTCCACTCCTCCAGGGGCCTGCCTGACGCCCAGGGCGGCCCCTCGTCAATCACACAGGACGCTAATGAGCGCGGGATGAATCTGGGCTCCTAAAAGAGGACAAGTTGAAATGGATTTTTAAGGCACTTTAAACACATTTAAGAGAGAAAATAAGGAATAGAAGAGACATGACAAGAACATTGGGGCCTGCGGGAGCAGCACACGGTTTGGGGTTGGTAGTGGTTTGCGCGTCTGACCGCCGGGTCTCCCTCCCCGCCCGCACTGCAGGCTGCGGGGTCCGATCCAGTCCTTTGCACTCCAGGTGCGGTGCTGGACAGCAGGAGCTCCAGCCACGGAGGCCGCTCCTTCAGGGAAGAATAGCCCGGGCTCCTCCGAGCCCCTAAATCCTGAAGACCACGAAGTGAAACCAAGTTGGAACCAGACGCTAAATCCCCAGCCCTCGGGCGCTCGGACTCTAGACCCAACTCGGAAGCCCCGCCCCTAACGCTACTCGCCAGTCAGCGACGGTCGCGAAATCCGTGCCCGCCCCCCGGCCGCGCCCTCTGCCAATGAGCGAGGTCCGAGCGGCCGGTCGCCCAGCCCAGTCCCGACCGGCGCACGCCGCTGTTCGCGTGTCTGGTTCCAATAAAGTTTTTCGCCACTTTGAATTTTTTTTTTAAAGCGCCCGCTGCTGTCTCTGCAGCCGCGGGCGAGAGCGGCCGAGTCCCCGCCCCGCCACTTCCGGTCCCGCCGCCGGGAGCCGGTGCGGCTGTGAGGGGCCGCGTCTTGCAGCAGCCGCCCGGGCCGGGCATGGTGTTGGGCGCCGGACCCGCCTCGCCTGTCTCGGGGAGCCCAGGTGAGGAGCGACTGCGCGGCTCTGCGGCGGGGCGAGGTGCGGAAACCGGTGCACAGGCTGGCCTGCGGGCCGGGCGGAGGGCGCGGGCGGTGGCGGGGCCGCCTCAGGCCCACCGGGTTCCTCACGCCGGGGGCCGGGCGGGCGCGGGCACCCGGACGCAAGGCCGAGCGGTGTGAATGGGAAGGGACCGCGGGCAGCGAGCCGGGGGTCGGAGGCGGCGTCAGTGGCCGGGGCGCTGGCCTCGCCCGGCAGTGAGTGACCGCGGCGGCGGCTAGGGACGGCCCGCGCCGAGCACCTAGTGTGAACCAGGCCCTGGGTCGAGCGTGGCACAGTCCTGGCCGCGCTCACGCCCCACTCGCGGGATCGGCTGCGTGCCTTGTAGGGAGGAAGCGGGGCGTCCAGCGCCTGGCCAAGGTCACCGGCCCGACGTGGCCGCAGAAAGCGGGACTGGACTCCCGATCGCGGCGGGAGTCACGCTAGGCCGTGAGGAGCGGGGGAGGTGAGGGGAGTGACAACTCGCGCCCCGTCCGTGTACCTGCAGCGGGAAGAGTAAGTATGGGCACTTACCTACGATTGGGGGCGGCCAGGCTAGTTTGAAAAATTTTTACCACAGCAAAGGAGACGAGGAGGGAAGGGCATCTTGGAGCAGTTAGTGCTGCAGAATCTTGGTTCCAGACCTGGTTCTGCTGGTGTGTCATCTTGGGTGTGTCCTTCCCCTCCCTCAGTTTCCTCATCTGTCACAGGAGATAATTGGGCCCCCCACCCTGCGTTCCCGACCGCCTGGAAGTGGGGGCAGGATGGGTTGGAACAGCCAGAGAAAGCTTCTTGGAGGAGGAGACGTTGGAATCTAGGTAGGAATCTTCCCCTTAAGGAAGGGGTAGGATTCGTTTGTGAAGGAAGGAGGGCATTCCAGACCTGGGTATCAGATTGAATAGAAGCTTCTGGAAATGAGCAGGGTGTTATGAAGCAACAAAGAGGAAATTGGCCTGCCTGGTGCAGAGGAATCCTGGCTGAGGAGTGAGATGAAGGTAAGGGGGAGCATAGAGGTGGGAGAGAGAGAGATTGAGAGGCAGAATCACACCAAGTGTAGTGCTGTCCCCCCACCTGGACATACCTGCCTTTCAGGTAGTAGGCAGTGCAGGAAGAGGCAGGTTTACTGCTGAAAATAGAAGGGGCTGGGCTCCAAAGATGGTCAGTCAACCAGCGTACTCCTGTGCCAAGCGGGAGGTTCTTGGGCACTGGCATTCTGTGGAAGAGTGGGATATGGACTTCGTTGTGCCCTGATCTGGGCGCCTTTGACCGGGGAAGTTGAGTGTCCCCTAGTGACCCACAGGCCCATCCTTTATGCTTGGATTGAGATGTCTCCATTAGGAAGGAATTGTAAATAAGTAGCCCCTCACCTTGAGCTGACTGGCCCCTGGCGTCCCTGCACAAAGTGACATGGCCTGGTTTTGCCATTGCTTGCAGGGATGCTGAGTAAATATCACTTGATGGCACTAATACATTGCACACAAGATACTCTTCTCTGGGCCGTCAGAAAGCAGGTCCCACCCAGAGGAAGAACCTAACTGGGCCAATTACAACTTGTGGAATTTAGAGACTGAGAATGCTGTTCAGAACAGCTGATCTGTTACTGAAATGCTACCTTAGAGTGTAATTTGCAGGAAAGAGGAAGTTTTGTTTTAAACCAAATCTTCAAGAGTTGAAACATATTGAAGAAGGAAAAGAATTCTGAAGCAACTGCAGGTATTCAGCTAGCCGCTTGACAGTCTGAATACTTATTTTTTGTTAGAATCCTTTGGTATAGATTTAATTTTATAGCTATGGAAACATTCCCAAATTAGGCCTTGGGTTTATCCTTAAAGTGGCATGTGAAAATGATACACATGACAGAAAAATAGATGGTCACTGTATTAGATTTCTTAGAATGTTAGGGAAGTACATTTTTTTATTACTTTCTATGGGAAACAAAACACCAGTGTTAAACATTCTCTTATATCTCGCAAGTCACAAACTTGAAGATAGTAAACCAGCAATCTGACTCTTCCAGTGGAACTGAATATTAGCATCTTCTGCCCACAGAGAGGATTTCGTCGTGGCGTGATTGGGGGTATAAAAGCATTAAGCATAGCCTGCGGACTGTAGTGTTACAGAAGAGTTTCTTGGTGGTGAGCCTTTCAGTATGTGAGGGATCAGTCTCCCCAGGCTCCCCTGAGCCTCCTTCAGTGCAGGTTCTCGGGGAGCTGGGTGTGGCCCTGGTGCTTGCTGTTCTGTGGGACTCTTCATTCTGGCTTTCCTAGGTTACTGCCTGCTGAACTCATGTTCAAGCATGTTGTGCTTTTATTTTTTACTCTTTGCTTCATTTGCATTCCCAAGGTCAGCCAGAGACCTGGTAGTCCTTGTGTAGGGCATCTGGTGCATCCAGCTGACCCTCAGGTGATGGATGGATGCACGTCTTGGTCCATAATTGGGTGACCCTGATGATGTGGCAGGACTGATGTGATTGAGTCTGCACACGTGGCAGCAGACTTGGCTGGGAAGGGAAACACTGTTCTATGATAAGGAATCCTTGTGAGGGATTTTTGACAAGATCATTCCAGGTAGGGGCTGAAGCAGGAGAGCTTGGCTCTAGATGGTGCTACTGTCTGTGGTAGCTGAAGACCCTACAGGTGTTTGTGACTCTTTTCCTGTGAAGTAACTTCATCAGCTGAACCCAGCTGCTTTGCCCTGGGCGAAGCTGTGAAGATGTGCTCTTATGGAGGTCCACCTGAGGAGATGGCACAGTAGCGTAACAATGAAGAAACTAATGTTGGCTTATTTTCACATTTTTGTCAACTTTATTGAGGCATAATTGAAATAACACTAAACTGCCCATATTTAAATTGTGTAATTGATTAGTCTGAAACCATGACCACAATCAAGTTAAAAACATGTCCTGCTGGGCGTGGTGGCTCACGTCTATAGTCCCAGCACTTTGGGAGGCTGAGGCAGGTGGATTGCTTCAGCTCAGGAGTTCAAGACCAGCCTGGGTAACATGGTGAAGCCCTGTCTCTACAAAAAATTTAAAATTAGCTGGGCGTAATGATGCGTGCCTGTAATCCTAGCTGCTTTAGGGGATGGGGGATGCTGAGGTGGGAGGATCTCTTGAACCTAGGAGTTTGAGCCTGCACTGAGCTCGAGTCACGCCGCTGCACTCCAGCCTGGGCTATAGAGCAAGACCTGTCTCAAAAAACAAACAAAAAACATTTCTGTCATCCACAAGAGGGAAACTAGTATGTCTTTGGTGACTGCTTCTAGCAGCTGAGTGGCTTTGGGCAGGCTGCCTTCTGGGCCCCTGTTGTCCTGGGGTCCACATGTTAAAATGGAATGGGAGTGAGAGAAGTCCATTCCAACTTTACAATTCTAAGAGCTTATGACTGTGGAAGCGCAGAGCTGTCTTGGAAGCCTTTAGACCAGTACTTCTTAAGGGGTTTATGGTATGCGTATGTCTGTGTCCTCTGAGCGGAAAAGACTGTGCAGTTCAGAAGATCGTATTCTACGTATTGTTTTCATTTTTAAAAAATTCTTTAAATTTTTTTATTTTTTGAGATGCAGTTTCACTCTTGTTGCCCAGGCTGGAGTACAATGGCACCATCACTGCAACCTCCACCTCCTGGGTTCAACCTATTCTCCTGCCTCAGCCTCCTGAGTGGCTGGGATTACAGGCGCCCGCCACCAGGCCCAGCTGATTTTTTTGGTATTTTTAGTAGAGATGGAGTTTCGCCATGTTGGCCAGGCTGGTTTAGAACTCCCGACCTCAGGTGACCCACCCGCCTTGGCCTCCCAAAGTGCTGGGATTACAGGCATGAGCTACCATGCCCGGCCTATACTGTTTTCATGGTACAAACATTAGAAAACAAAATCTGACAGCCTTTAGGAGATAGGCAGAAGATGGTGTGAGAAACTGTGTAAGAGACCTGGGTGAAAAATGGTTTCAAATGCCAATGAGGAAAGGAGTATTCTTATTTGACTTTCAGGATCTTAGTCTCAACTTAAAATTTCTGTGCTTATGTCAAGCTTTTCACATGGAATTTTTAGATCATTTTCTGTTGAAATGATCAGAGTGGTATTGAAATAAAATGATATGAAAGCAACAAAGGAAATTGTGGAAGTATTGAACTGGTGACAATTTATCTTATTTTATTTTATTTTTGAGTCTCACTCTGTTGCCAGGCTGGAGTGCAGTGGTACAATCTCAGCTCACTGCAACCTCTGCCTCCCGGGTTCAAGCGATTCTCCTGCCTCAGCCTCCCCAGTAGCTGGGACTACAGGTGTGCGCCACTACACCCAGCTAATTTTTTGTATTTTAGTAGAGACGGGGTTTCACCATGTTGGCCAGGATGGTCTCAATCTCCTGACCTCGTGATCCTCCCGCCTCGTTCTCCTGAAGTGCTGGGATTACAGGTGTGAGCCACAGCACCCGGCCCTAGTGACAAATATTTGTCCTCAGTCAAAAGAAGTTCCAGAGACCCTCTCTGACCATGGCAAAGTAAGTAAGAGTTAGGAGGAAGATTAATGTCAGTTTATGTTAGAAATAGAAGGCAGAGTCTAGAGGACAGTTACCCTGTATAATTAGTGGGATCATAACGTAAGCTGTGGACTTTGAGTTATCATGTGTTGATGTGGGTTCATTAATTGTAACAAACGTACCCTCTGGTGGGAGATGTTGGTAATAGGGGAGGATTTCCGTGTGTTGGGGCAGCGGGCATATGGGGAATCTCTGTACCTTCCTCTTAATTTTACTGTGTACTTAAAACTGCCCTTAAAAAATAAAATCTTAAACAAATTGTGGCATTTCTTCAACTGTCTCCCAGGCAGCAAGTGGCGTCACCTGTGTTTGGTCTTTGTTGTCCCTCCCAGTGAGCTTGCAGCAGGGGAACCTGCAACACAGATGGGGTGGAAGCCACCAATGAACATAATCTACCTGGGGACATTAATTTTAATTCGGTCTTGATGTTGAAATTGCCAAAAAATATAAATAAAACACAAACATAAGTAAATGCAACACAGCATGAATAAATGAGAAGATGCTTGTTAAGGCTCTAGTCACACCTTTATTAAAGGAGGAAGGAGAGCAAAGAGTGGTGTTCCTCTTCCACCAGAGGCTGTGCTGCTTCAGTTGGTGATGGGCCAGACCCTGGGACCATACCATGTGTGTGCATGATCCCTTGCAGCAGGGCAGGGCAGACTTACTAGTGGACAGTAATGGACCCATGTGGAACCCGTTGGTGAGGGCACGCTGGTTGAGAAGCTGTGGAGGCACCCTAGACGTTGTGTTCCACGGGAGCTTCGTCACAGCCACATCCCAGGGCCTGGCACCTAGTGGATAACCAGTGAGTGTGAAATGCATGACTTTTTAATTTTAATTTTTTTTTTTTTTTTTTTTTTGAGACAGGGTCTCGCTCTGTCACCCAGGCCGGAGTGCAGTAGCACAATCACAGCTCACTGCATCCCCAACCTCCCAGGCTCAAGGGATCCTCCCACCTCAGCTTCCTGAGTAGCTGGGACTACAGGCGCATGCCACCCCCTGGCCCCCTGGCTAATTTTTTTGTATTTTTTGTAGAGATAGGGTTTTGCCATATTGCCCAGGCTGGTCTTGAGTTCTTAGGCTCAAGTGGTCCTCCTACCTTGGCCTCCCAAAGTGCTGGGATTGTATTTGTGAGCCACCACGCCCAGCCATGACTCTCTTTTTAAAAAACTGTTAATTCATGGCCGGGCACGGTGGCTCATGCCTGTAATCCCAGCACTTTGGGAGGCCAAGGCGGGCGGATCACCTGAAGTCAGGAGTTTGAGACCAACCTCAACATGGAGAAACCCTGTTTCTGCTAAAAATACAAAATTAGCCAGGCATGGTGCTGCATGCCTGTAATGCCAGCTACTCAGGAGGCTGAGACAGGAGAATTGCTTGAACCTGGGAGGCGGAGGTTTTGGTGAGCTGAGATTGCACCATTGCATTCCAGCCTGGGCAACAAGAGCAAAACTCCGTCTCAAGAAATAAAAAATAAAAATAAATAAAGTTAATTCATAATTTTAAAAGTTAGGCTTATAGAGGATGGCGTAGAGCTTTTCAAATGTATTATGAAGGAATCCAATCTTATTAATGTGTGCAAATTTTTTCCATAACTAAATTATGGGAAAAAATCAAAATGCAAAAGCACCTGTACATTTTCCTCAATGTCTAATTAGTCTCTGGAGACCTGGTCCTTAACCCTGCTTTCATTGCTGTCTTTCAGGGTAAAGGCAGCAGTAATGCTAACGCTAGCAAGCAAACTGAAGCGTGACGATGGTCTCAAAGGGTCCCGGACGGCAGCCACAGCGTCCGACTCGACTCGGAGGGTTTCTGTGAGAGACAAATTGCTTGTTAAAGGTAATGATCATTCGTGTGAACTGTTTTTGTATCCTGTAACAAAAGGAAGTTTGACTGGAGAGTCTTTGGGGATATAAAGCAACCCACTGCTGAATAGAAATACCTGTTTAAAAAGATTTTAAAATACAATTGCTTGTCTCTTATAGTGGAAGGACATTGTACCATGCAGATGGTATGAGCACACTGTTGCAGGGAGATGGTATGGGATGTTCTTTGTCACGTCTGCCAAAATGCTAGCAGAAAGAATAAGGTGCTGAGAGTCGGCAAGGCCTAAGACTGGTTTCAGAGCTGCCATTATCTTCCTTTCTTTCTGATTCTCAGCACCATAGTTTCTGCTCTGTAAAGGGGAAGGAGTCAAATTTTGTAATCTCTTAGGATCTTTTCCTGTTTTATTCAGGTCAAAGCCTACGGCGAGTCTTGTGAAAAATTAGTTCTCTTCACGGAGTTAATAACATGTAGTATTCTACAGTTTTAGTTGACTTCTGCTATCCATGTTGGTGAGGAGAAACTTTATCCTGGAGGAGGGTTGGTAAAATGTGTGAGAGTATGTGTGCATGCAAATACGCATTCATTTGTATGTTTGAGCGTAAATTTTGCATTTATTCATTTAGCAAACTCAACATTTTCAAGTGCTTTGAAGTCGGTTTCTTGGGGGTCATAAGACCTATGAAAGATGAAGAAACAGTTGCAGCCTTTAAGGAGATTATAATTTGCTTAATTATAAAAAGGTTAGCTTTGTATTTTATTTATTTATTTTTTTTGAGACAGAGTCTCACTCTCACCCAGGCTGGAGTGCGGTGGAGCAATCTTGGCTCACTGCAACCTCCACCTCCCGGGTTCAAGCAATTCTCCTGCCTCAGCCTCCTAAGTAACTGAGATTACAGGCCCCCCCCACCACCCCCAGCTAATTTTTTTTTTTTTTTTTTAAACAGAATTTTGCTCTTGCTGTTCAGGCTGGAGTACAGTGGCGCGATCTCGGCTCACCACAACCTCTGCCTCCCAGGTTCAAGCAATTCTGCCTCAGCCTCAACTAGCTGGGATTACAGACATGCGCTACTACGCCTGGCTAATTTTGTATTTTTAGTAGAGACGGGGTTTCTCCACGTTGGTCAGGCTGGTCTTGAACTCCTGACCTCAGATGATTTGCTCGCCTTGGCCTCCCAAAGTGCTAGGATTACAAGCGTGAGCCCCTACGCCTGGCCAAATTTTTGTGTTCTTTTTTTTTTTTGAGATGGAGTCTCTCTCTGTCGCCCAGACTGGAGTACAGTGGTGCAATCTTGGCTCACTGCAACCTCTGCCCCCGGGGTTCAAGTGATTCTCCTGCCTCAGCCTCCCTGGTAGCTGGGATTACAGGCGCCCGCCACCACACCCAGCTAATTTTTTGTATTTTTAGTAGAGATGAGGTTTTTGCCAAGTTGGCCAGGCTGGTCTCAAACTCCTGACCTCAGGTGATCTGCCTGCCTCGGCCTCCCAAAGTGCTAGGATTACAAGCCTGAGCCACCGCGCCCAGCCATTAATAAAGACGAGGTTTCACCATGTTAGCCAGACTAGTCTCAAACTCCTGACCTCAGGTGATCCACCTGCTTTGGCCTCCCAAAGTGCTGGGATTACAGACGTGAGCCACTGCCCAGCTTTACTTTATAACAAGTGTTTACATTTCTTTAAATTTTTTTTTTTTTTTTTTTTTTTTGAGACAGAGTCTTACTCTGTCACCAGGCTGGAGTGCAGTGGCACAGTCATGGCTCACTGCTGCCTCAACCTCCTGGGCTCAGATGATCCTGTCACCTCAGCCTCCTGAGTAGCTGGGACTACAGGCATGCACCACCATGCCCAGCTAATTTTTTTATTTTTTATTTTTATTTTTTTGTAGAGATGGAGTTTCATTATGTTTCCCAGGCTGGTCTTGAACTCCTGGGCTCAAGTGATCCACCCACCTCGGCTCTCCCAAAGTGTTGGGATTACAAGTGTGAGCCACCGCACCTGAGAAGTGTTTACATTTCTTACATATAGAGCAGCTAGAAAGCAAATGGTTGATTAGTGTATTTGCACTCCCTGTTTTCATGTTGTATTAGGTTGAAAACATGGAGATTACAGGCATTTACATGTCCTGAAGGAATCTAACAGCAGAAGAGCTGCTGTATATAAATGTGCTGTGCTTGGCCTTCCCAGACACAAATCACTGTTAAACTGGGGTAGGAATGAGAAGTGTGAGGGCACAGTGGCACAATATCGGCCCACTGCAACTTTCACCTCCCGGGTTCAAGCGATTCTCATGCCTCAGCCACCTGAGTAGCTGGAATTACAGGCATGTGTCACCACGCCCAGCTAATTTTTTTATGTTTAGTAGAGACAGGGTTTCAACATGTTGGCCAGGCTGGTCTCAAACTCCTGACCTCAAGTGATTGCCTGCCTCGACCTCCCAAAGTGCTGGGGTAGCAGGCATGAGCCACTGTTCCTGGCCTGTACTCTTTTTCTTATTCTCCCTCTGCCCCTGAGTTTGGACTTAGTTTTGGATTATCCAGCCTGTTGGATGATTGGTTGAAAGTGGAGTCAGAATGGTATTTCACATTTTGACCTTACCTACTAAGCCTGTATTTAGTGTCCGTTGTGCTGGAGGCTTTACCCTAAGAGGCCCAGAGGGCGGGGCAAGAGCTGGAGCACCTTACTTAGGTGTGCCTGATAGGACTTGAATGTCTTCTCAGATTCTGGGCTCCATTTGCAGCATAAGCCAGGAAAATGGTGTGTTGTTGCTGTACTTGGAGTAGACAGTGAGTGCTTTGGTGACTAAGGAGTTGCAGCGAGGAGGGCCTGGATGTTAGCTGAGGAGGAGTGGGTAGAAGCTGACAAATGGACTGTCCCATCTTCTTTACCCAATCATCATCATGGTTAATAGTAGCTAATAATAGCTTTTGTATACTGAGCACTTAGGGCCAGGCCCTCTGTTGGGCACCTTCTTAGTTCATTTGTGCTGCTGTAACAAAATGCCACAAATTGGGTAATTTATAAACAATAGAGGTTTACTTCTCACAGTTTTGGAGGCTGGGAAGTCCAGGATCCTAGTAGGATTGGTATCTGGAACAGGTAGTACTCTGCTTCAAAGATAGCACCTTGTTGCTGTGTCTTCACATGGCAGAAGAGATGGAAGGGCAAAAAGGGCCTAAGCTAGTTTCCTCCTGCCCTTTTATAAGGCACTAATCCATTCATAAGGCAGAGCCCTGGTGACCATCACTTCCCTAGAGGCCCCACCTATTAATACTACCACAGTGGGGATTGAGCTTCAACATGAATTTCCCCATTCGAGCCATAGTAGGCACTTAATGGGGTAATTCTTGTTTGACTTTTCAAAGCCTTGCCAGATGGATGCTTCATTTTACCCATGAACTGCTGAGACTCAGGTTAAGAAACTTGCCCAGTTTGTGGCTTTATTGCAGCAAGACAGCCAGACCCACATACTGGGGTAGGACAGGCTCCGGGGGAGCAGATGCAACCAGCAGAAACCAAAGTAGCAGAACAGAAGTGCAAGTCCACAGAAAAGAGAGTTCAAGGAGGCTCTGCGTCTCCGTGTCTCCTGCCCTGCTCAGGAACTCACCCTGGAGCTCTCTGCTGGCTCCAGGGCCTGACAGAGCCCACTAAGACCCACCAACCTGGGCTCCCCTCCAGCTCCAAGGAAGGAAGTATCTTTGTCTGGGTTGACAGGGCCCAGCTGAGGTTCTTTGACTTTGTGCGACCCATCAAGAACAAGAAGGGTCTCACAAGGAAAGGTGCAGAGCCAACTCTTGAGGCCACCATTTCCATCCTCCCCAGGCACTGGTGGCGATTAAGTTTCAGAGTCCAAAGCACTGGCCATAAATGGCAGTAAGAACTCAGTGTCACCTCCCCTCTCATGGCCTTTCCCTCCACCTGCCTCAGGGGCTGCAGGCCAGGCTGAGTGGTGAGTAGTTTGGGCTCATGATGGAGGTTGGGTAGAGAAGGGTGTGCCTGATCTGAGAGAGGTGGCTGTACACACAGAGTGCAGCAAGAGTGCCTGACGGTTCATGCTTGTGGGCTCCGCACCTAGAGTGCTCCTTTGTTTAGCTCACCCTGTGGGTGGCTTGTTGACCCTGGTGGCAGTCTGGCCTTCTGTCCTCTGGGGAGTTGTGGCGGAAGTGGTGCTATGGAAGCTGGCGGAGTCTGTGGCTGTTGGAGGGCATGGCAAGGCACTTTGAGGGCTGATAAAGTGAGAATCCTTTCCAGGTGAAATCCAAGCTCCCTTTTGGGACTTTGAGAAAAGTGGGGTGTTGGAGTTCAGAAAGATTACTATGGTCAGAGCTGTCATTTGGTACTGTGGCTTGTGTAAGGGTGTTATTCACGAGCATCCATAGGTGGTAGAAAATTGTGTCAATATGTCTTTGGGACTTTATGCCATAGGCTAGGTTTCCTGAAGAGGAGGTAGAGAGTTTGTCATGCAGGATCCTTACTAAGGGATACTTTTGGGACAACACCTGTGGGGTAGGCGCGGGAAGCAAGAGTGGGCAGAGGGAGACTCAAGTGGCGAGGAAGGCCCCACGATAGCCTCTGCTTTGGAGCAAGAGCAAGCAACAGCACAGCCCTTCAGAGCCGTCTCCAGTCTGGTGAGATAGTCAGGTCTTCCTGCTCTGCACCCATCAGTCGTTAGATGAGGGTTGCCTGGGACAGGTGTCGTGTGGAGTGCAGGTCTGTGCAGCCACCAAATCCCTGAAAGGGCTGATTGCTGAAGCCTGCCTGCCCACAGCCCTCACTGAGGGGATCTGTGTGCTGCTGTGTCACAGCACCTGGCTCATTACCTTGCTCGCCTGTGATGTGGGCTCTGGTGTGGTGCAGATGGCAGTAGGGCTGAGCTTGTGGGAGGCAGGAGCTTGTCCCTGGCGGGGGAGGGCCAATGGTATCTGCACAACGGAGGCCTCTTCTTTTTCTTGGAAGTGTGAGCCCGGGTCTGAACAGTGATGGGAGGCCAGAGTCAGCTGTCCTGGCTCGATTCCAGG